CGCCCTCGATGCCTCAGCCCTTGGCCGACCATGTCACGCATGACATGCAGCGACTGCTTTTTTACTCGAGCAGCGCTCAGTAGTTTACGTGCCACTTCACGTGCATCACGGGGGCCTCGCCCTCGATGCCTCTGCCCTTGGTCGACCATGTCACGGATGTCACGCATGACATACAGCGACTGCTCCGAAACTTGGGCAACGCTCAGTGGGTTACGTGCCATTCCACGATCAGCCCGTGAGCCACGCTCGGGACTCCTTTCCGATACACCGTTGGTGTCTACCTACTCGGACATTCCAATGTCCAGCACGTTGACCGTCTCGGTCCACTGCTCTCGCCAATAGCGCTTTTGTCTCCTAACAGAGGTGGATTCATGACTCGCCAAAGCTACACCAGGAGACGTGCGCGTAGCGCCCAAGGTCTTTGACACAATAATCATAAGCAAGACATGCTGGTTTGAATCTTTTACGTCTGATTCCCATGAGGAATTGCTATAATGACCAAGAACTTAAACGAAGCTATGAATTCGAATTTGAATACATTAGTAATTTCACTACAGTTAGGTACTCATTTTTATCGAAAAGGAAAAATGCTTCTGCTATGGCACGAGGCGCTGGGGTCAGACGATGAACAAGCAGAGGAGAACGAGCTCTGCGCTCGAGTTTTATATTTTCAAAAAGATCGCGGTGATAGTGCGGATCTCTTGCAAAGTCTGCATTTCATCCAGGGTCTCCTTATGTTTGTACGGATGCTGCGATGCAAAGGCAGGGACGGAATGAAGACTGGGTGGACACCCGACTGGGCAAGTGTGACGCTCTCTAAAAGAAAGTTTTTTATTCAAGAAGTAGAGCCGCAGATTTTCATGGCACTGGTGTGTGACAAGCTGAGAAGTTGCCTATGATGTTTAAGTATTGGTAAGCTGATTACTCTTTGTTGTTGCAGGGTGTGTATCCAACAGTGGAGATTGTACGACTTTGATTAAGTTTCGACATTTATTGCGAGTTAATTATCCGTTTGTTGATATCGTCAAGGTAGAAAGATAACAAATCTGGTTATAAAGCTTTAGTTCAAGAACTGTATGACATGTTTCGACTATTTTACGGAAGCTTTGGCAGGTGGGTTGACTGTATAAAGTGTTCTAGAGTATGGATGACTAACTTTCTTGCAGTAATTTACGCATGTTGCCGTGTACTGACAAAGGCGAGAGGATTGACGTAAATTTTACAGACGGGATGGACCTCTTGAAAGAAATTGGCTTGCAACAAAAGCGGCTGCGAAAGCTTCGACTGGATATTAAAAACCGTACGGAGAGTGACGACGCCGCTGAAGATATAAATTGTAGTAACGCTGCGTCCGAAGTGCAGAACGAAATATACAAAACAGAAGCTGAACTTAAAGCTCTGCAGGCACTGTCACCGGCATCAATACTACAACAAAAATGTAACATTTTCTTTCCGACATTGCTTCAGGCTCTCGACACTAGTGGATGTTCTGGTCTTCATGAGCTGCAAGGCCTTGGGTACTTTCCAATGGATCAAAATACGTTCCTATCAGTGCAGCTATTTGTTAATGGCTTTCAAAAGGAGTTCAGTAGTGCGGGAGAATTTCAAGTTGAAAGCTCAGCATTATTTTTTAAAGGTAATCTTTTATGGACTTCCATAGACACGGCTACGATGAAGCTCTTATACAACTTTCTGCGGCTTCGAGAAGAACGTGGAATGACTTTGATACGAAGTCGTGATAATAACGAAGTTGATCAAGTTAATGTAAACCAAAATTTGAAGAAGCCATTTGACTCCGAGTTGTGGATGGCTAATGCATACGAAGATACGTTTCGTCCGATTTGGTCAAGCAAGCTGTCCTATGCAGAATGCGATGTCGTTACTTTAACAGCAAAGAATACTCCGTATCAGCGTAGGGCTGCTCGTTCGTTGCACAAGCAGCACCCTGTCTCACTGACAACGTTTTTGTCGGAGATGCAATCATCTTCAAGTACTGGTCTTGCTTCCATATCATCGCCAATTGCTTCACTATCGCATTCTTCTTCTTCGTTCAAGCCATATGGCGAATCCTGGAGCAATAAGGCCACTTCCAAAGCTTTAGTAAATGCAATGAAGGCTCGAGCTCGACCTACATCCTATCAGAATGGTGGCTTGTTGCGCAGGGACGGACAATTTTTCAAAATTTCAAGTGCAAACGAAGAGATATCAAGCCAAAGAGCTTTCGATGACGCCAAAGCGGTGTGGAGCCCACACATTTTTCCTCTAAGCGATGCATCTGTGTCGTCTGCAACGAAAGGAACGATGCCTAGACATCGAGTAGTGCTGTGGCATGAAGAAGATCTCACAATAATGATATTGTTGTCCTTTGATAAAATGCGTAAGGAATCATCCGATGAATCAATAAGTGCTTTGGCCACCACTTTCAAGCGTCTAAACGACTATTTCGAACACCAAGAGAGATTTTTGAATCTGGCTCAGCTCATCTTAACGCGCTTCAATGCCACATATACTCCTGAAAAGAAGTAAGTGATAGAGCATGCGTATAAATTCACAAATGCACTGACACAAGTTGTGCTGAACTGTAGCTTGCCGAACCGTTCTCCCCTTCCTCCATTTCTGTACATTAATCGAGTTAATCTTGCGTTTCGGATGCGAGGCATACCACGCATATTAAAAAGAGCGAAAGATGACTTGTTTCCAATACCTGTGAAGTTACTGGCTCATTACTTTCCTGCGTCGACGTTAGCATTACTTAATGAGTTTCATGCGGAGCTTCACAATTCTTCAAGCGCTGGTAATCGCGAGATCTGCGTACGTACACGGCACGCTGGCTGGGTACTTGCTAAGAAATCAGAGACATCGCATCGTGAACTTTATGTCTTCTTTGACAACAAAATTTCCTCTGTTTCCAACCTTTCAGGTAAGCGAGCAACTTGCAATTCACGATTTGACCAAGTAGCTTAATTGATTGTCACGATTTTCAGATTCACTTCAGATGCTATTGCACGACCAATTCGGAAACGTATTTTTCTGAACGTGGCTGGTATAGTATAACGCCTAGAAGTGTGGTTCTGTGACACGCATGAAAGTTCGTCAAGTCGATCCACCACGCATCAGTAAATTGCCATGGATTTCATTACGTGACGCTCAGGACGAGGCGCTGTGGCTATTTATCTGTGCTCAGAGCTGGAGCAAGTTCAGATTGACGTGTTGCTACATTTGACGTACCACTTACTCTCAGAGAGACTTAAGTGCATCTTATAAAACGCGCGCTGCTGGTATGCGCTCATTCTGGACCACATAACGAAAGGACTGAGTAATGCAGGCGATCATGTCAAGATAATTCGAAAAGAGCACGTTTTTGCATCGTAACATGGAGGTGCATACTAAATTTTGCAGACCGCCAGCCGTCTGAAGAGATGCGCATCATGAAATTTTAGCGGTTTTTGACGGCCAAGCAAGAAGGTGTTGACTTCATCATCACTTGTCCTTTATTGACGTACCAATGGATCGCCGACTGCAAGACCGCATTCCGATTTGCCAAGAAATCTGCAGTTATAACTACTTCTGTTTACAAGGTAGTGAAAGACAAGAATACCAGATAAAGTGCTTGCAGCCTGAAAGTGATTTACGATCGAATGTGTAGCTGTGCGTCTGTTTATCACCCATCTCATGGTGAAAACGTGACAGCATCTGCTGGCTTTTGGCATGATTTTAATGCCGCAATCAGCGCGGTTTCTTTAGCAGTCAACGGTGCAGTGGTCTACTGCTGAGCACCAACAGGCTCTACATATTTTCTGGTCCTACTGTCAATTCACATACATTGCCTAGACTGCTCCATGGGACGGTAGACGGCGTTAAAATTGCACCAGTCCTGCTGAAAGGAGCTGTCTGACGATTATCGCGCATTCAAGCCAGCGTGCTGAGCAATTTGGCACTCCACAAATTGAAGAACGTGCTCTTCAGCTGTATTGAAATTGATTTCGTGGTCACTTAAAAGTGCTTGAAAAATATGTTTACGGCGTTCAGTTTCAAAAAGAGCTGAGATATACGCCATGCTGTCATTTATAGCTGGCGGATATGCGTAACTAAAATTCTTCTGACGAAGGTAAAGCGTCACCAATTGCAGGCTAAGTTGCACTTTCATTGCGAGTTGCAATCTTGAGTTGTACCTTTCAGAATTTGTCTTAATGAAATGAGTCATATACCTGAAAATTTAAGTAAATCTAAGCTTATCGTTTCATAATCACTGAGTGTGGCTGCGTGGCATTTAATTGATAAATTTCATCAGCAAGATCATCATGAATGAGCCAGCGCGTGTGCAGACCCGCTTGACGAAGGAGAGCGGCCCTAAGGTTACTGGTGCTGCCAGTGAGGCAAAGATTGGCGGACCCTTCACGCTAACGCCAAACCCGCCCTTTGTAGCGGCTCGCGTTGCCGTGTACGATCGCATCATGGCAGAGCAGAAGAAACAGCAGGAGGCGCTAGCTGCCAAGCAAACACCTATCAAAATCACTCTTCCTGATGGTGCCGTAAAGGAAGGAATAGCCTGGAAAACAACACCCTTGGACGTGGCACTTGGAATCTCGCAAGGTCTGGCCGACCAGGTTGTTGTGGCACGCGTCACCTACCGTGGTAAGCCCGAGGACCCTTTCAGCGTCACTGCTGCTGATGTGGATGGCAATGAAGCTAGTGATAAAACTAGTGACGCTTGCTGCGGTGCTGTAGCTGACTTAAGCGAACTATGGGATGTATTTCGTCCACTTATTGGGGATTGCAGACTAGAGTTGCTTAAATTTGACGACGCGGAAGGCCGCATGGTCTTTTGGCACTCAAGTGCCCATATATTGGGTGAAAGTCTTGAGACATTGAAGGGTGCACATTTGACTATCGGTCCTCCTGTTGAGGGAGGGTTTTATTATGACTCGTATATGGGTACGGAGACGGTGCCGGAGAGCGACTTGAGTGTCATTGAGAAAGCTTGTCTCAAGGTTGTGAAGGACAAACAAAAATTCGAACGTATAGTTTTGACCAAAGAGGAGGCGCTTGAAATGTTTGCGGATAATGTCTTTAAGACGCAAATCATTTCGACCAAGATACCGGACGGTGGAAAAACCACAGCCTATCGCTGCGGTCCGCTCATTGATTTGTGTCGTGGTCCACACGTACCTCATACTGGCAAAATCAAAGCGCTGGCTGTCACGCGTACTTCAAGCTCCCACTGGCTTGGAAAAACTACTAATGATGCTTTGCAACGTGTTTACGGCATTTCATTCCCGGACAAGAACCAAATGAAAGAGTGGAAGCATTTTCAGGCTGAAGCTGCTAAGCGTGACCACCGCCGTCTTGGTGTGAGTGAAGAGCTCTTTTTTTTCCACTCGCTCAGCCCTGGTAGCGGCTTTTGGCTACCACACGGCTCCGCTATCTACTTTAAGCTGCTTAAATTTATTCGAGAGCAGTACCGAGCACGTGGATATACAGAAATTATCACACCTAATATCTACAACATGGAACTGTGGAATATTTCGGGTCATGCTCAGCATTACAAAGAAAATATGTTTGTGTTTGACGTTGAGGGCCAAGAGTACGCTCTCAAACCCATGAATTGCCCGGCTGCATCACTCATGTTTGACTTTCGTCAGCGTTCGTATCGTGAGTTACCCATCCGTCTCGCAGACTGTGGCGTGCTGCACCGAAACGAGCTTAGTGGTGCTTTAACCGGACTCACGCGTGTGCGTCGCTTTCAGCAAGATGATGCCCATATTTTCTGCCGCGATGACCAGATTAAAAAAGAGGTGCTCGATTTTTTGACGTTTATGAAGTATGTATATGATGTCTTTGGTATCCACTTTTGTCTGGAGTTGTCCACCCGACCTGAGAAAGCTATGGGCGAGCTGGAGCAATGGGAGCGGGCTGAAAAGCAGCTAGCCGAAGCCCTCGACGAATTTGTTGGCGCTGGCAAGTGGGTTGTGAACCCAGGCGATGGAGCTTTTTACGGCCCAAAGATTGATATTATGATCACGGACGCATTAAAGCGTCAGCACCAATGCGCCACTGTGCAGCTTGATTTCCAGCTACCAATTCGTTTCAACCTCAAGTACCGCACGGACGATGCTGAGAACTTCAAGCGCCCGGTAATTATTCATCGTGCTATTTACGGATCACTAGAACGATTTGTCGCTGTTTTGGTTGAGCATTACGCTGGCAAGTTTCCGTTTTGGTTATCGCCGCGCCAGATACTTATTGTCACGGTAGGCGCTTCATTCGTAGATTACGGGTATGAGGTTAAGGATGCGCTGTTCCGTGCTGGCTTTGACGTGGAAATTGATGACTCGGGTAAAACACTGAATAAGAAGATTCGCGAAGGCCAGATGGCTCACTACAATTTCATTTTAGTTGTTGGTGCGCAAGAAAAAGATACACGCTCTGTTAACATCCGAACTCGCGACAACATGGTGAGGGGTACTAAGACTCTGGAGGAGGCTATTGCCATGTTTAAAGAGCTAGAGGTTTCCAAAGCAGCCGATGAGTAAATAGTGTTTTGCGGGTTGAGAGATAGGCGTGAGGAGTTGTTTTACCCAAAACCATTTACGTGGTTTTAGCTGGTGGGTGAGATGTCTTGCCATTCTACAGAATGACGTACATTTTAACACAATTGTGCTGAGTTATTGATACATTCATTGTCCCTATTGAATTTGAGCGCCAATATTCGTCTTGCTACGTGTGGAATTGCCCGTGGCATTTGGTGCTACATCCTCTGCCCTAATAACTACATGAGTAACAAGCTAAAAGAAAATCTGGATGATAAGAGCGTGTTTATTAAGATTTTTTTTGGATGTAAAAGAAACTCCAAAGATTTATTAGTCTTTCTCTCAAATGCGAAAAATTCATACTCGAAAAATCATATTTTTCCTACGTTGTAATATCGTAGCTGACAATCCTCTTTCGATTATCTGCCATATCAACATCATAGACACAATGTCGTTTCGCCTCCATCAATTTAGTGCACGCACATGTTCGTAATGAACGGTTTTCGCAGCTGCTACTTTGTCTAGTGACCAATGGGCACGTTGCATGGGAGACCATGTGCTATTATTAATTAATAATACTATTCTACAATAGGAGAATATGTCCAACCACTAGGAAATCCGCTGCCGACGACTCACTTATATTGATTCTAAGAATGGGTAACGCTGCTGCCAAACAAACTGAGGCACAGGCTCCACCAGCACCAGTTAAGACCGAAGAAAAATCATCAACGCAAAAGCAGCCATCCTTTCGTGTTCTATCTGCTGGTCAACGCTCCATTACATTTGACGAGCGAGTGCATCTCCGCGCAAATGCGGAGGCTCGTGCGGAGCGTGTGATGCTCGGTCTTGGAGCCACATCAGAGTTTCGCCCGCTACAGCGCGCTGCTACGTTTGATCCTCGTCTACGTTCGGAAAAGCAACTATTAACGGTATCCGATGTGATGCACCGACGCTTTTTTAATGCTCGCGAGCGGCGCGTGAGTGCATGTGCTGAACGCAATTTGTTTCGGATCGCCGAGAGTGATAAGGAACGTCAAGAAGCTATTGTGATTGTAGATCCATACTCAACAGGCATGACTATGGCGGAGAAAGTTTTGGAACGCGGTTATCTTTGTATCTGCGTCTATTCGGACACTCTCGAGGTGACACAAGAGCGTATTGCTCATGGACCCAAAGACATGGCATCTAAATTTCTTGCAATCATATACCACGATGGAATTGTTGAGCGTCAGGATGAGACTAAAGCTCTACAGGATACAGTAGCTGCACTACGTTGTGTCAAGAATGTTGATATTATTGGTATCTTTGCTGGTGCAGAGACTGGCGTATTGTTGGCTGATAAGCTTTCGGAGCACTTCAAGCTCACTACAAATGGCACGAACGGATCGATTGCCCGCCGTAATAAATATTTCATGGGTGAAAAGGTGCGTAGTGCGGGTGTTCGTGCTGTGGCTCAGGTTCAAGCCACCAAGTGGTCGCAAGTCGAGAACTTTGTTCAGAATGAACTTTTACCCATGCTGAAGGGAGAAGATTTTAAGGTGATTGTTAAGCCTGTGGAAAGTGCTGGGAGTGATGATGTTGCGCTATGTCACTCGATAGACGAAGTACGAACGGCTTTCGGTAATATCCAGGGGAAAATTAATGGTCTCGGGCTCGAAAATCACGCCACGTTAGTGCAGGAATATTTGGACGGTACAGAATACGTTGTGGATACAGTCAGTCGTAACGGTGTGACAAAAGTTGTGGCTGTGTGGGAGTATGACAAGCGTGCGGTGAATGGTGCGCCGTTCGTTTACTATGGTGTTTTGCTGCGTGCAGCTCCAGATGGTTCAGTGCTGGCCAAAGTGGCTGAATATGTAATAAAGGTAGTGGAGGCGCTAGAAATTGTGCATGGTCCGGCGCACGCTGAAGTGAAAGTCGTCAGAGGCGAGCCGTGTCTTGTAGAAATCGGTGCACGGTGCCATGGTGGCTCTGGCTCCTACCTGCCAATTGTGATGCCTTGTCTTGGCTACAATCACGTCGATGCGGCATTGGATTCGTATTTAGACGGTGAAGCGTTTGAGCGTCTGCCAGAGCGTCCAACGGAGCTCAGGTCTCACGGTTGTGAGGCTATGTTGGTGTCGTATGAAGCTGGCAAGCTTGCAAGCTACCCTGGTAAAGAAGAGCTTGAAACTTTATCGTCCACAGTCTCAACAATGTGGTTTACGCACGTGGGAGATGAACTCAAGCCGACAATCGACATGTTTTCGACTCCTGGTAGTGTAATTATGGTCAATGAAAACGAAGAACAGCTAAATCGTGATTATGCTCGCATTCGTGAGCTTGAACACAAGGGAATGTATGCGCTTGAACCACAAGATGAAGCTGATATAGAAGCGAAAAACGCAAGCGGTATAGTTGTGGTGGTCGACCCATTCTCGACTGGTGCTGTGCTGGCACACGAGCTGATGATTCGAGGCTATGACTGCATTTGCGTGTATAGTGACCACCTTGAGAACATCGAGAGCGTGGCAAGTCTAGTGCCAGAGGGTCTAATGCTGGAGTTTGCAGCGACTGTTGCGTTTGATGGGAATCTTGAAGAGACTGTGAGTGCGATTCGCAAAGCCGCAGAAAAGGTTGCAGACAAGAAGCCGAAAATAAAATTAGGGGTTAGTTCTGCAATTCGCGCAGTTTTTGCCGGTGCAGAACTCGGTGTAAAGCTTTCAGATGCTCTTATAGACGCACTAGGACTACAAGGAAATGTCATGAAGCACGCGAACGCAAGACGCGACAAATACCTAATGGGCGAAGTTCTCCGATCGGCTGGTTTGCGTGCAGCAAAGCAAGTGAAGGCTACGACCTGGGATGAGGCTGAGAAGTTTATCACACAAGATCTCAAGCCGGAACCCTTCGAGGTGGTGCTCAAACCCTTGGAAAGCGCGGGCACAGAGGACGTTATTCTTTGTCTATCTATGGAGGAAGCAAGACGCACGTTTGATGGCATTCTCGGCAAGATAAACGGTCTCGGAATTGAGAATGAGGCCGTCTTGCTTCAGGAATATCTGGAGGGCGACGAGTATGTAGTCGATACTGTAAGCCGCGACGGGGAGCACAAAGTCACTGCCATCTGGAAGTATGACAAACGTCGCGTGAATGATGCCGCATTTGTGTATTTTGGACTATCCTTGGTGCCAGCAGAGGGGATCGTTAACGAAATCATTGACTATCAATTTCAAGTTTTGGACGCTTTGGGTATTCGCAATGGACCCGCGCATGGAGAAGTGAAGTTTTGTCGTGGGTCGCCGGTACTCATTGAAGTTGGTTCGCGCTGTCACGGTGGTGAAGGTGCTTGGGTACCTATTGCTAATATTTGCGTGGGCTACAATCAAGTGACAGCAACTATCGACAGTATTTTGGTTGCTGAGGCTTTTGCCAAGCTATGTGACCGGCCTCGAAAATTGCTTGCTTATGGCTGCGAGGCGATGCTTGTGTCGTACAAAACAGGCGTATTGAAGAGCACGCCTGGCATTTCGGAAATCGAAAAGATGCCTGCTTTTCTAAAGAAGGAAATTTTTGTTTCACCGGGGGACAATATGCGCCAGACAGTTGATATGTTTACGACACCTGGTAGCATTATGCTCACGCACAAGGACCGAGATATTCTTGAAAGTAATCTTTCACGCATTCGTGAACTTGAGGTTGAAGGATTGTTCGAGGTGGAGTGAGTGGTAGGAAATGCGAGCGACGTGCATGTTATACGTAAACCTGTCTCTTTCATTAATTGTTATTCAAATCGATATACATGTAGTTTAAAATAGTCTCATTCACTTAAGATGTATACATTATATAATCTCGTGTGTTAGACCACGCGCAAAAGTGGCAAAAGTAGTTCAAGGGGATCTAAGCCCCCCATCCTCACATCTAGAAGAAGCTCTTGAAATGGATTCCTTACGGATGTATACGAAATAGACTGTGAAACCACCGAAGTGGTATATGTTGTGGAGGATGAGCTGAGCTAATCGTCCGTAATGAAGACACTACTAGAGCTGGTGGGGAGTCAGCGGTCATCAACTCACCACTACCAGGAAACCGGCGCTCTTCGGCGTGAGGATGAAGCTACGATATCTTCCGTCAAGGACACCGGATTGCCCAAAATGTACCTTGAGCAGAGACTGTTAATCGAGGTCTCACCCTTGGTCGCCAAGAGAAGAGACATGTAGGTCCTGTGCCAGAGCCGGCATAGTGGAAGGGCGACTGTAAGTCACGAGTGGAAGGATCGGTTTTTACGATAAAAATCTGGATTATTCTTGTCACGATGTAATAGTACTGCAAAGGCAGCGTACTGTGTGACAGACCCACCGTGCGGAGCAGGAGTGCAGCGGAGCTGCCATAGCTCTTTGCTTAGAGGAAGCTAAGCTAAGGTCACCGACCTTACGTTCTTTACAAAAACCAGTGCGAGGCCTCAAAGAGTATTGAAAACCTTAACCAACGTAAAAAGACTCTTCCGTTCAAATTGAAAATGTATCTAATTGTTTTAGTTGCGGCAGACCCGTCAATTTCTGATTTTTTTTGGTTTTCTAGTCAATACAGTAATACCTAATTAATATAGTAAAACCTATTTAATATGCATAACTACTGGCAATCCTTCCACGTAGTAGCTTCTTGTTACGGTTTAGCTACATCATTGCGTGATCGCACCAGCTCGTGTAATCCACACTCTCATACAAAGGTACGTGTAACCCCGTCACTCTCTTCCCCATTTAAATTGTAAATACCCACAATTCCATTTCACTGTCGCCTCGTACGAGGCTCGCGTGTCTGAGACACCGTTACGTCCCTAGGACCACATTCTCTGCTCATTGAGCCCTGTGTCTATGACACGCATAGCACCCAGCCTGGCCGGTTCCGAGGGCACCCGCGGGCAAAGCCCTTCTTCTTCTGCACGGGGTTCATCTCTGGACAGCACGCCCGCGGCTTCGCGGGAAGCACTTCTCAAGCCCTCGGCAACCGAGCGCCACACACCGCGTCCACCCCGGGCGACGATTTTTCTTTTCGAGGATTTAAAGGAAGTCGACTACGAATCGGATACTCAGTTTTCAGCATGGGAAGGCTAGAAGGATGAGGCCCAGCTCGAACCTTGCGGACACCGTGTCCGTTCCCCGATCTCTCGACTTCCGAGAGAAAGTGGTATTGTTACCAATCGCCTGGACGAGGCACAGGAGCAGCAATTCGAGGCTGCCCACAGGGCGACTCTCCGGCGCTCGTATCCTCGTTTGATTCAAGACCCTCGTGTGGAGTACGGCTTCTGCTCGGCGGATCCCCTCTACTGAAGTGAAACACGCGATCACTCGATTGTAAGCGTCTACGTAGTCGGACCCCCGGCCTCTACACCAGCTGAGCTTGATCAGCGAAAAGATCTCCGAGCTCGCTTCTTGGTACCACAAGAAATCCCAATGAATTGGTACCGAGCTCGCCTTCGAGCTCAAAAAGGAGGCGCTTCTGTACCCGGACTATTCCTGTGGTGATCGCCCCTGGCGAATCCGCTGCAGATGATGATAAGCTCTCTGAGCGATGAGTGCAGCGGCAATTGAACCTTTCCTCGCTGTCTTTCTTACAGCGAAACCACATGAGAAGTGAACGTGCGCGTAGAGCGCCATCTTAGATTTAAGTTTGCCAAATTTAAGGGGCAACGCCGATTTCATGCGTATTGTCGCCCTGCGACATATGAAACAATCCACCACGCTCCCACGAGCTCTGTGGTTTCTCAGACGGGTGTGTCTACGACCACAGCGGCTCAGGGCCAAAGCTTGAGCTTAGCTCATGGCCCTCAGGCTTCTCTGGCTACTGCCGAGAAGCGCGGGGCCGGGGCGCGCGACGAATCGACGCGTCATGACCCTTCTGATCATAGGCGTCTGCGACGTCTGGGCAGTCTTGTCGAAGTGGCACCTCAAACTCCCACGAGTTCTTGGAGTTTGAGTTTCCCCGCCACTACACAAGATATTGGGTTAGAACCTGTCGGCGAGATCGACCCGCAAGGCGTTCGACGTGGTAGTGGATGCCATTGAGATTAGTTGGTGGCGGGCGATGATGACTTGGTCGATTGCTGTCCGGTGACTCGCGATGCACTTCGAAAGTTGGAGGACAAGGTCCGTCGTCATCGGCACTCTGCCGTGCATCTTGCTGAGGTCGCCTGCCGCTGTGTGGAAGACCTTGAGAGCCTGGTGCACTTTGTGCACCGACTGCATCACGTTAAGGATTATTGCGCTCTGTCGGAGCGGCTCCTAGCCGTCGAGCAGTCGAATTTGTCACTTCTGGCGATGTTGGAGCTCCTTGCGCCGTTGGAAACGGAAATTGTTGCACCTTACGCTAAGAACTAGCTGCTGGTTCAGCTCCTAGGTTGTCGAGCGCCTTTGTACATCGCCGAGGCACCAACGCTTCCACATTCACATGCGCCGGATACCGGTATGGTTTAAGCAAGTCCACATAAAACACCGGTTGTGTGCGCATCCTTCTAGGAAGGATCAGTGTATACGCTAGGCCTCGCTTGGCCACGACCTTTAAAGGTATAATATACCATGGGTGGAGCTTTGTCTTAAAGACAGCAGAATCTGCATGTGCAGGAATTTTTAAGCCTTTGATAAAACCACGTCTCTGACCTCAACGTTTTCCAGATTTCTTCTATCAGCATATTCTTTTTGCATGTCAGGGTTTCAGCCACCGCATCGCGAACGTGTCGTAGGACACTAGGTCTGGTCATCGGCTTATTTTTGGACAATGAGGAGGCTGACATCAGCTAGCCGTTCGGCTACCCCTCCCCCACCAAGCCCTGAGCCATAAGATGGCGACGTCAGCGGGACGCGAGGATTAACAAGACCGTTCACGCAGAACGGCGTGTAGCCGGTAGACGAATGCACTGCATTGTTCAAAGCAAACTCTACGAGTGATAACATAGCGCACCAGCGCTTCGGCGTCTCAGCGCAGACGCTGCGAAGAACGTTTTCAACGACGCGATTCACGCGCTCAGTCTGACCATCAATCTGCGGACGGCCCGCTGTTGACGTAGTCATCCTGGTGCCCAGCACCCTGAAGTTTGTAGACCAATACTTACCAGTAAAGCGCTGGTCTCTATCAGAGTCAACTGACTCCGGGAATTCATGCTGTCGAAAGACACAATCGACAAACAGCGTCGCTGTACCTACACCGTCGATGGTGTCCGGTACTGCCGCAAGATGAACCATCTTGCTCGAACGGTCCACAAAGACCACCACACCCGTGTTGCCCGCCGAGTCCTTCGGCAGGCCAAACACAAAATCCATACTCATGGACTGCCAACACCCGGAGGGTACTGGTGAACTAGCCAGTGGTGCCGCCGCATTCGGAGTGAACTTCACCCTTTGACACGTCTCACATGTGTGCACATATGTGCTCGTCAATTTATACAGCTTGGACTACCAATAGTGGCAACTTACCGAGCTGTAGGTCCTCTCACGACCAAGATGATCGTTGAGTGATGTTTCTTGGGCATCATAGAGGATAAGGTATGTCAAATTCTGATCGTGAAAAACACAATTTGTGGCGTATCCGCTGAATCGGTGCTATAATACAGCAACCCGATATTCAACGAATATCGGTGTAACCGTGCGCGCAAACGCGCCGACAATTTCTTGTTCAAGCTTCCAAACTCCTTGCTCCTGAGAGCCTGTAGCAGCGCTACGCACATACTGTCACCCGCGTATACAGCGCGGATCAATTCCGTCACAGACGACGTAACCATCGTGACATGAGCAGGCTCATAAATTTGTCTGCGTGACAACGCATCAGCCAAAGGATTCTGCTTTTCTGGCTTATACTTTACCTCAAAGTTATATTATGCAAAGAATGAGAGGCACCTGGCCATCTTCTGCAAAGGTGACGCGACTGTGCCATAGTGCGTAATGACGCATGCTCTGTGTAGATCACAAATGGCATTGAGTCAAGCAGGAGCACCCTGAACTTGACAAGTGTATAATTCATCCAGGTAATTCCTTGTCGTGGACTGGGTAGTTCCTCTCTGCAGCTTTAGTCTGGCGAGATTCAAGCGCTATCACCCGATCTCGCCCCTCGGCGTCTGCTTGCAGCAGCGCACAGCCGACGGCAAAGTCCGAAGTGTCACAGACGATGATGATCAGGGTCTGGCAGTGCCAGTATTAGTGCATGCAGGAGGCTATCTTTGACCCCGTCAAAAGCCTCATGATGTTCGGTGTTCCAACACCAATCTGCATCCTTTTTAAGGAGATTGGATAATGGCCGGGCCATTTCTGCGTAGC